AGAGAGAGAGAGAGAGGGAGAGAGAGAGAGAGAGAGAGAGAGAGAGGGAGAGAGAGAGAGGGAGAGAGGGAGAGAGAGAGAGAGGGAGAGAATATTTTATACTACTAGTCAAAATGTATTTCTAACAAATCAAATGAAGCGGCTTCCCGTACCAGCCGCTGAGAGCCGCAGACGGTCGAGCTCCCCCTGCAGGCGGCGGATCAGATCATCTTTAGCGTCCAGCTCCAGCTCCAGCTCGTCGATGAGAGCGTCTCTCTGCAGTAACTCCTCAATCTTCAGCTGAAGTGCGAACTGAAGATCTCTGAGAGTCCCCATGAGCCCTGCGCGAGGGGACACAGAGAGGGGCTGATGGGTGCGTGCGTTTATGTGAGATAACTGGACAGTTCTACAGGATGAAATGAACGGCAGACAAAACTGAAGTTGCTCTGAAATGATTTAAAGAATCTCCAAAACTCATCGGCTGTATTAGCCTATCGAGGCGCAGTCAGCGCTGCATATGAATCCAAACAGATTAAGCCACGACAAAACCAATTTATTATTTTTTTTTATTTCTTTACACACTGCATTGACAATAAGCGATGGGCTAACCGAGAAGACATTTACCTGAAAAATATAAGCAAGGAACATGGGACTTACAAGCAGACCGAAGGCAATAAATATCCCCTCTGGAATGACAGAGCTGGTCCGCTTTAGGAATACTGAAGACATCCAGAGTGTGAATGTTTGAATCATGCCTTCGCCGCACGAGCGCTGATCTGACACAGAGCGAGAGAGAGAGAGGGGGGGGGGTCATTCTAATACACAGCCATGCTATGATCAGTGTTCAATGTTGACGAGTTGCATAAAACAATGCAACACAATAAGCAGTTTTCATTGCATTCAAGCTCGGTTGCACTAAATATGATTTATCAATGACTATGCCGACAACATGTAGCATTATAGCATAATTTCTAAAAGAAAAATAGGGCAGTCATTTTCAAAAATGTGCTTCTGGCTCGATTACTTGATCTTACAAAACACAGCATTTTAATAATGACTAATATGTTGTTGTTGGTTTGTGTTGTTTGTGTTTTATAGGCATAAAGTTAGCTATGCTAATAAATAATACAGTTTTAGTCGTTTATATATATTCGCGTGAATGGGGATCATTTTGACAACATTGTCATCTGAGCAGAAAAATATATCAAAAACACAAAGGAAACCCTTTTCTGCTTTTAATGCAATTATACCCTCAATCAGTTACTGTAAAAAAAAAATTAATAATAATAATACATATTTAATGTAGTTTTTGTTACGACCTGGATCCAAGTCAAAAAGTCCACTGTCCACATTTGTAGGTGTCATGAAAGTTGCACAGGTGCATTCAATTTCACCATTTGAAATTTCATTTCAGATTCAGAGTCTGGATTTGGAGAATTATGGACGTGACTGAAAGTGAAATGGTTCTGTTTCCACCAGTTTTTTCACATTTATAAGAAAACTATAAATATAGCCTACATGTGTTATTTTTCCTTTACTAGTTAAGAGCAACACCCAACCTAAAAGCAGATTTCATTGGTCAACTCGGTTGTATTCACCTGTTCAGATTTCAGAGTCAAGTCAGTAAGTTAAACACTAATGCAGTCGATTAGGGTGTGCTACACTCTAAAAAAATGCTGGGTTGTTTCAACCCAACTTTGGGTCAAATATGGACTAACCCAATTTTTGGGTTACATTTTAAACAAAATTTTTAACCCAAAAGTTGGGTTAGTCCATATTTGACCCAAAGTTGGGTTGAAACAACCCAGCATTTTTAGAGTGTACCAATGCTGTAGTGTACGTTTACACAATGTACTACAAAACAGAGAAGTTTTTCCTTTGCAATTTTTTAAAAGTTTAATGTACAGATGACAACGTTGTCAAAACAATCTGCGAAAACTACTGGATTATGCATGCCGGTATTGTTGGAAATGTCACCGCTGGCCTGGCATATATTTATTAATGCTCAAAAACAATACAGACAGTAACAGATAACAATGGTACATATCTGCCCTTACTTTATTTTTTTATTTATGAAACGTATCCACATTCAAGTGTTTAAAAAAAGAATGCATGAAGCTAGAATAAAATGTTTTTGTTTACAAGCAGATACCCTGTTCTTTTGAAGTTTATATGTTTAGATATTCATGTAACAAAATATATACAAATTAATACCTAAATAGGGACATAGTAGTATACTTAAAGTATGATGTAAAGTTCACTTAAAGAAAACTTAAGAGTATACTTGTAGTATAAAACTACTAAACTAGTAGTTTACTGAGACTATACTTCAAAGTGTACTAAAAATGCTACTACAAGTATTTAATTAGTAAACTATCAGTATACCTATAAGTTCACTTTTAGTGTAGTTGCACTACGAGCTAAAAAACATTGATGTAAACTAGTTGTGTACACAAAGTTTACTACTGTTATACTTAAAGCATACTTAAAAGTATACTTTTATATACTAGAAAGTGGGCCAATTCAGCCCCAAGGAGTATTAAAATAGTACACTTACAAGTATACTACTAGTACACTGATATTTGTATACTTACTACGTAAAGTATACTTAAAATATACTTGAACTTTACTTAAGTATACTTACTAAAATAAACTTGAAGTATACTACTTTTTGGTAAGGGTAAACACTTTTTTTTTTGCATTCGCATGGCGTCACCGTTGCACAAATTTGAATTTTTATATGGAGATGTTCTCATTAACCATAGTTTTCAGGCCCCCAAAACGCCAATGTGCATAAAAATCTTTCAGTTTTTAGTTGAAAACATTGTTGTGTGAACACCCCTTATTTACACCACAACGATGTACTACAAAAAAAGTTTTTTTCCTTAGCATAGGCTTTAAAAAGTTTCACACACAGATGATAACGGTGTCAACACAATCCCTGTTCACATGGATCCGCAAAAACAAAACAAAAAACGCTGTAGGCCTAATATGTATGCCAGGCCAGTAGATGGCGACGTTACTTCGAAAGAAACTTACACATGTCTATAGACTGAATAGTAATATGCATACACATGACATCACCGTTTTCACAAATTTGTGTTTTTTACACAGAGATAATACAGTTTTCATAAACGTACAGTTTGAAACCCATTTTCAAAAGTTTGCATTTCCCAAAATGCTGTTGTCATGTAAATGAACGGCCAAAACGCACAAAAAGTGTTCAGTTTTTAGTTAAAAACGGTGTTGTGTAAGGTTAGGGTTATTTGTTTCAGTTTTATGTAGACAGTCAGCACTGTGATGGATATGTCCAGTGTTGGGGAAAGTTACTTTTAAAAGTAATGCATTACAATATTGCGTTACTCCATAAAAAAGTAACTAATTACGATACTTAGTTACTTTTTATGGAAAGTAATGCGTTACGTTACTTTTGCGCTACTTTTTAAATCTGGACAGGGCTTGCTTGTTTGTTTTTAAAATAAAAAAGTTATATTTTTGGCAAATATAAAAGCCTTTTCACACCAAAAGTGAAATGAATGAGCCTCAGGCTGAAGGGAAAGTTAATTTACGTCCGTACAGTAGAATGCAGAAGAAGACATTTCAACACACATAATTTTAGAGTAATTTGTGCTTATTAGTACGGTTGAACTGAATCATCGAAGGGTCAGAAGTAAAGACATTGGTTAAAAGAATGGGATTAAATACATAAAGCATATTTGTGTTGTTTAACATTTAATTATTGCAGGTTTGCGTCATATTCTGAGTTGCATTATTTTTATTCATTTTGAGGAATACTGAATCTGTGTGTGTTTTTGTGAGTGAGATGAATTAATGCATAGTTATATTTATTTTAGAACTACAGTAACATCTGATTTCTCTCGACATGGGGACAGCAGATTTATTTGAGAAAGTAACTCAGATATTCTCTTATAAATTAAAAAGTAATGCGTTACTTTACTAGTTACTTGAAAAAGTAATCTGATTACGTAACTCGCGTTACTTGTAATGCGTTACCCCCAACACTGGTTATGAGCAATGAAATCTTTTTTTCTTCAGGAAAAAAAAACAAGTCAGGCATTTTAGGAGGGGCAGGTCATCTCATGTACAGAAATGAAGACTTTTGCACGATGCTGCACCACCTGAGTGCATCAGCACCACATAAACAACAACAACAACAACAAAATCTGCATGAAGTGGAATTATTGCAAGAGCAGTTTACTGCATAAGATACAGTGTGAAGTGTGATGTTAAAAGTCACTTCTCAATACCACAAGTCACCATCAACCACCAGAGCCCCATAATCACCCAGCAACAGATAAAGGAAATATATGATTCGTTAAAAATAGATCAGAGGGCGGGGTTATATCTGTTGTCCCGTATGCTCGCCCTCTTCCGTACTGCAGCGTTTTGCGTTCAGACAGAGAGTATAGCAGAGTAACAGAGATCAGCGACTTTAGGGTGAACATCATGTTTAAACTCGCTGTAGTCGCTCTTGTGCTTCTCAGCGCCAGCTGTTTCGCCAAACAATGTAAGTAGGCCTATAATTAATCTGTTTTCTGACGCAGGCGTTCTTTGCTACGCTTCTTATTATGCTTTTTGTTTTTAGTAGCCTAATTGTTGTTCATTTTATTTTTGATACTATTTTATATTTCCATGGTTTATACAGTCTTTATCAAATCCTACGTTTGAATCCCTCATTCGTTTACAAATATATATATATATACATGTTTATTTAACCTATATAGCGTATGTCGTACTTTCAGCTACTGGAGAATACGAAGGATAAAATCCTTTAAATTGTTCAAAACATAACAAAACGTTGAAAAACGTATATTTGTCATTTTTAAAAAGCTTGTGAAAATCTGTCCAGGGCATTCAAACACATCCAAGACGTTTGTTTGTCTGAAATCCCCGGAACATTTTACTTTCACTTTCACTTTGCGGGGAAACTCCTCAAGATAACCTTACTGAAGAACTGGTTTTTACTGGATATTAATGGTTGGTAGTTATAAAGTCACATTGATATGACACTTGATAACATGTTATTTAATCAAGTTTTAGTTTCTGTAAGAAATTATTCGTGTGTTAAAATCACAGTTATAATGAATACGACAATAAACAACCAGGCCTAATTAGCCTGCTACTGTACATGGGACAAAGTCGAGACGTCCCATTGTGGTGCCTGCATCAAATTAAAATTACAAAAGAACTTTATGTATATACAGAGAAAGCATATTCAATCCAAGTAAAGTGGTTTCTTTTGTGAAAATAAAATGTCAAAATATGGGTGAAATAGGCTAATGTTCCATCGTCGTTCAGTGTAACAGATATATGTAATATATTTACTTATTAAAATTGAAATATATATATATATATATATATATATAGTGACAAAGATTAGTCAAAATTTAGTAAAATTTTTAAATGACAAAAAAATATTGTTTTGGGTTGCTGCACTGTGATCCTTAAATATAGTCTTTAATGTCATCTAATGATTCTTGTTTTAAATATACGTTATATGAACTATTGTCACTCTGAATTACACTTTAGTGGGTGTCTTCAGTAAATCAGGGTAATAATGTATTCTAGTCTTTTTTTTCCTCCGAAAAAAAAAATTTAATTAAACAGGACACATTCTAATGTACGAACAAAAAATTAAAGCTGTATTTAACTTTTATTGTTTTGATGCTTGAAAACCCCTTTTCGTCTTTGACCCACGTGTATGCATTAATACATACATAAGATAAATAAAACATAAGGACAAAGACAATAAACATTTCCAAATGTAATACATGCAATACAATATATAAGAATGAACAGTATTCAGATATTATTTAAAACAACAATTTTTCCATTTGTATTGTTTCTAGCTGACCCAAAAGTGCAGGTGTACAGCCGCAACCCTGGAGAGTATGGGAAGAAAAACGTGCTGATCTGCTACGTCAGTGGCTTTCACCCCCCTGACATCACCATTGAGCTCCTGAAGAACGGGCAGGAGATCCCGCACAGCCACCAGACCGACCTGGCCTTCGAGCAGGGCTGGCAGTTCCACCTGACCAAGCATGCTGATTTCACCCCTCAGGCTGGAGAGGAGTACAGCTGCAGAGTCCGACACATGAGCAACACAAAGACCTACACATGGGGTGAGAACAGATCTGAGGTCTTTATCTTGATTTGCATTGTCGGTAAAGGTCAGAGATGTTGGTTTATTTAGGAGCTGTTTGAGTATTTCTCACTTTCTTAGACATCTGTCCAAAGGATCATGGAGATGAATTCCTCTCTTTCATGTTGTTTAAAGATTTAGGACTCGTTAAGTAGTCACCTAGGGTAACCCATTTTAATTATCATACAAAATGTCCTTAAAACCAAATGTTTGAAAGGAATGGTAATACTATGAAACACACAGACCCAACAATATGCAAAATGTATCATTAATTGTAATCATTAACTAATTAATAGTCATTTCAAATCTTTACCAGTCTTTGCCACTATTCTTCAAATCACAAGGCTTTACTCATTTGTGACAAGAAGTTTTTAATCATTTAAAATATAATACAATTTGGTATGGTCACTTATATATGTACTGTATATACTGTAGGTCAGAATAAGTATATTATTTCATTTTTACATAAATATATCTGTTATGTTATGATTGATCATTATTTGACCCATATATTTTGGCATTTTCACAAAAGTATTTGAAACATTAAAGTAGACACTTTACTTGCATTTAATATACTTTCTTATATATATATATATATATATATATATTTTTTTTTTTAATATATTTTTATTTTTATTTATTTATTTAGTCATT